TATCAGTGTTTTTTGATTATGTATGCAGTATACAGCTGATTTGAAAAGTCAAGTCTAGACTGCTGAATTGAACCTCTAAGTTGAACCGCCTTTCTAAAATTTCTCCCAGACTTGCATTGAGCTTATTTCACCATATTTTGTTTCCATGCCACTTACCTCTCAGCTGTGTTCCAGTTGACTTCCTAAGGTCAAAACCACAATTTTTTTTTTTGTCCACCCTGAATGAAATCTGACATTAGTTTGAAAAGTCAGCGCAAAAGTCTGAATATGATCTGAATTTTGTTTTTGAAGCATGGTATCAGGAGTTTTGTGCGAAGTTGTCCTACACTGAAGTTGCACACATTTATCCTAGACACAAAAATCAACTCTCTGAATCTGTTGCTTTGTGTACAACACACTCTTTGTTGGTTAGGAATTAGTGACCTATGTAAAGTTTGGTTATTTCAGAGTGAATGTATGTCCATACTTTTATTTAATATTCATTTGTTCAATTAACATGAACAGTTTTCCAGCCTAAATGTCCATCCGAATGGGTTCAGAAGGTTGTTTACAGCTCTAGTAGCTTTTCTGCAGGCGATGGCACAGACACCAGATCTGTACTGAAAATGACTGTTTTTTTTCCCCCTGCATTGTATAATGTGTTGAGGAAATATACCTACATGTTAGTGGTTTGATACAGTTTGGGCTTTGATTTCGGATAAAATTTCAGATTCTTTTGGAGGGAGAGGCAGAATTATAATGTTCTATTAACTGTATATTTTCTGGAAGAATATTTGGTTTACTGTAGGTAAGTTGTCCCCCCAGCATCCCCCCCAATAAATAAACCACTCTTATGTGGTTTGTTTAAAATGCTAATGTCTCATCCTGTATCTACCTTTTTATTTTAATATCCTGCAGTCATCCTGGCCATTTATTTTCCTGTGTGCTCAGATACTCAGGTATTTCTGGATATGATAGAAATGATTGTCACCTACATTTTTCACGAACAGCTGCAATATCAACCCTGCAAAATGATTGCGATCATCCTCAGTGCTCTTTAAAGGCTGAATTTTATGTTTCTGTTCAATTTTATTACTTGAAGTTTCTTCTTCCCATATAAATTATTTTTCAACTTTTTCTTTTATATGCCCTCCCCCCTCCCTTTTCAACCATGTAGGATGTGACCATGTACTTCTTTTAGTTTGGGGTTCTTGATAGATATTTGTGTACACAGATCTTGTTGGCTGAGGGTTTATGCTTTTTAAATGACAAGAGGGGATGACTGTGTCGTGATGTGTTCATGATTGCACTCAAATAAAGTTTTCATCTCCCTCCAGTTCGCTAGTAACATCTTTTACAATGTACTACTATAAAACTACTTTTCAAGAAAGCGGAAATAAATGTGATACAATTAATACTAATCCTAGAACTTTATGCACTAAATATTTTGGATTTACTTGAACATTCTTCAGTCATCTTTATTATAGAAATTTCTGAAGTCTCTGTTTTAATCTCCCCATCCCAGTCTGAGCCCATTTTTCCTGCTATGCTTAAACCAGCACTCAACAATTTCAAAGGAGCAGTTTGCAGTTTAGCAGCTCCAGAGTCTTCGGCTTGATCCCGAGCTTAGGTTACTGTCTGTGTGGCATTTCACATATTCTCCCAGTGCCTGTGCAGAAACACACCTGTAGATTGGCTACTCTAAGTTGCCCCTAGGGGTGTGAGAATGTGTGAGTCTGTGATGCCATGCTATAGAATGGCATCCCATCTGGTTTGTATCCCTGCCATGCATTCAGTGTCCCCACTCCCTACTGCACATCATATAGGTATGTTCGCTATGGTGCAAAACACCAGATATAAACTCCTTATCTTTAATAAACTGTAAACAGTGTTTTTGCAGAGTTGGCTAGAAGGCACTCTCTCTGGGTCTCTCTGGGTCTAAGTATTTGTGGCAGCATCGTCTGTGCAACAGTGACAGATTGACTGCCTCTGAAGGTGTATTCAGTTCTAATCAGAAATGATAGAATGTCTCAGACCTTCACACAAAGAAATGGTCCCACAATAGTACTTAGTGCTCAGCAGTTTGTACAATTTGTCAGATGAGTCAGCAAATTATGTATGAATTATGCATTATTACTTCTCTATTAGCATGCAGAAACTGTTGGAGACTAGAGCATGTGTCCAAACTCAGCATTCCTGCCAAAGATATTGATGCTACAGTATAATAATGAATCTATTAAATGGGTGATGCACAATTAGAATCATTGAGAGCAACTCACCTACTGAGACTATACAGTAGTCTTCAACTGTACAAGACAGGTTATGCACCTGGGACAGTGGCAACTTCACACAGATCCGGTGTCCTAGAGCAGGAGCAAGTGTGACAAGGTGCCAATTCGTCTCATTGCCAATTGTGGTTCTTTCTAGTGGATCCAGACCAGCCCATGATTGGCCCTGCCACCTAAACTCAGTAAAAAAAAGAAAAGAAACATCCACTCACATTCAACTGCTTTTATTTCCAACAAATTTTATTTGTATTAACATAAAAACATTCAACAACTGTGACATAAACTGAATACGTTTCACAGAACATTGACAAACAGCAATGGAATAATGCGTCCCTGAACAAATATCAAAAGTAACAGTCAGTATCTGGTATGTTCACCAGCTACTTTGAGTACTACAGTGCATCTCATCCTCATGAACCGCACCAGATTTGTCAGTTCTTGCTGTGAGATGTTACTCCATTCTTCCGCCAAGAAATTTGCAAGTTCTCGATCACGTCTGGTGGTACACATGGTTATATGTAATTTTCCACTGCAAGGACGATTAGCTGTCCTTCCTGTCTCCTCTCTCCTGTCTCAGGTGTCTTACATTAAAGACATTGCAGTTTATTACTCTGTCCACATCTGCAGTCCTCATGCCTCCCTGCAGCAAGCGTATGGTATGTTCACGCAGTTGAGCCGACACCCTAGGAATCTTTTTTTCTCGATGCTTTATTGAGAGGATGTGAATATTATCTGTAGTTCGCCTCTCGTCCTGAAGATGTCGCCATCTTTCATGTTTTGAATTTTGAAAACGATTTTACTTCTTATACTTCAGGTTGTTAAAGAATTTCACTGTTGCACATTTACATCGTTTTTATTTTTTTATTATGCAGTTTGTGCTTACCTTGTGTGCATTGATGCACATATTCATGATTTCTTGTTACAATGTTACTCAAAGTAAACAAAAAAGTAATTAAACAATTGTGTGGGCCCTATTGTTAATGTAAATGTATATTTCAGTAATATAGCTAAGTAGGAGGGCTTCAGTTATCAGAATTTATATTAAAATATGGATCCCATGTCTGCAAAACATTTTAAATGAAATATTTATGACTAATCGATATTGAATGGAATCGAATCGAAAAGATTTAAATAAGAATCCAATCGAATCGCCAAATTGGTCACAATACCCAGCCCTAGTCAACAGCACCACTCTCAGGAGGTCATCTCTGGATACTTTTCCAGGAGGGTCAGTCAGTTCCTCATGGCATTGTGGAATCCACACGAAACAGAACTGTAGTAACTTGTGGTCTTTGAACACAGTACAAACCATCAGTTATTTGTCATATACTCTGCCAGTGTTCGACCTGGCGAGTTTAGATTTGACATTTACCAACGCCTGCTCGGTTTAAATGAAAAAAGGAAGAACACTTATCCATAAAAATGTATGTTTAGAAGGCTGTTATGAAATCAGTTTTTCTGTGGTATCTTTGAAATGACCAGTACTATAGCTCCAGAAACGGTTCACCACTGTAAAACAGACGCCTACAATGAGATCAGTCAGAACTAAACCCCCACTGCAAGGAAATACCGCAAACCCTAATTCGTGTTTGAAATTATGAAACGCTTTAAAAAAATTATAAACACATTTAACTTTTGCGAAGAAGCAATACTATTCCGCTTTAAACAAGACTAGGAACCTTCCTCCATGTCACGTTGTTTCCGTCCAGATTGTTTAGCGGTCGGAAAAAGCCAGCGTGTGATTCCTTTTTTTTTTCTCCTCTTCCTTTTTTTTGCCGCACTGTGTCGATTTACGCTATTGTACACGGATGTGACGATTTACAAAACAGACCGCGCTGTCCCTTATTAGGTAACTAGTGTTGTAGGATGCGACATTTACGAGTGTTATAAAGAGTAGAGTTTAGTTGTTCGTTGCGACTTTATGGCCGGGTAGCAGTGCGGCTACGTGTCGAAACTCGTCTGGATTCATCCAGCCACAAAACCTTGCGAATGAAAGTGACGCAAAAAAATAAATAAATCTTACATTAAACTAGAAACATTGTCCGCAAATATGAAGGAGAAAAGACATCAGGATGTTTTGCCGTCTACCCGGTAACGACAGAGTCGGACTGCAGGAAAGGGGGAACTGGGAAAGAGCTGAGTTGATAATGTAGCAGCTGCTTAGCTCGAGATCACAATTTCAGCCAATAGTGCGGTTCTTGTCTGTCTACTGCAGGGAGAAAAAAGGCTTAAAAACCTCACCAACGCTTTTGATAGAACCACGATGATGTACTCTTCCCGGAGAAAACCAGTGCTCTATTTTAAAGAGGACAAAAGGTAAGGACATTGTGATTATTATTTATTATCTGGTGTTTATTTGAAAGGTATTCGAGGTAAATCCATAGCTGGTGATGACACGCTGCACTCATACAGGCAGCTAAGAAGTAGCTGTTGTTCTGTTTCTTTCTTCATTTCTGAACATTAAAGAAACGAAAAGCAAAAGGCTCCTCATCGTGGAGATGTGCTGTGAGTAGTATCTAATCTGTACTACCTGTCTGTGCTTGCTTGACACTTTATAAAGCGAAAAGATGGCTGCTTTTTTATTTACATTTTTTTATTTTATTTTTTTTAATGCAAGTTGTGAGTTGCCTGTGTGTGTCAGCCAGAGTCAGTGTTAAACTCTAAACCGTGTTTGCATGTGAGATTGATTCTTCGGTTAACTTTATGCAATGATATTCTACACTTGGATTATCGGACAGTGGTAGTTCAGTGGTTAAGGTGTTGGACTACTGCTCAGAAGTTCGTGAGTTCAGACCCCAGCACTGCCAAACTGCCACTGTTGGGCCCTTGAGCAAGGCCCTTAGCCTTCAACTGGGTTAAATGAAACAAATGTAAGTCTGCCAAATGCCATAAAATGATTATAAGTACTGGTTATACAACTTGCACAGCAATTAAGTGTTTTAGGGCTTCATAATTTGAGCAAAATTCTGTTAGGAATATGCAGTTGGAGAAGAAGGTGACACGATACATTAAGAGCCAAGGGGGTGTAAACATTTGAACGGATGATTGGTGTAAATTGTTAGTATTTTCTCTTCTGGGTGAAATGTAACTATCTTATTTACCTTCTGAAGGGCAATACTAAATGGAAAGAAAAAGATCTTTAAACAAAACAATAACAATTTACACCGATCGTCTTGTTCAAAAGTTTACATCCCCGTGGCACTTAATGTATAGTGTTGCGTTCTGGTGCATCAGTGAATGTTTGTACTTTTTGTAATAGTTAAATAGTAAAATAGTACTATCATATAGCCACTGTTGGACAGGGGTCAAATATGTAGAAGATGCTGGATAGGTAAAGAATGTGCAGGACCTGGAGGATTTTTCTGAAGAACAGTGGGCAGATTAACTGCTCAGGACAAACAAGGGGCTCATGAACAACGATCACAAAACATAAACAAAGACACTGGTCATCCAGATAACGACACACAGCATTAACAATCAAGGGTATGCAAACTTTTGACCAGGGCAATTTTTACAAATTCAGCTATTATCTTGTCGTGTGGACTTTATGTAAACCTCTCTTATGTGAAATAACTTATTTAGGACAGTACTAAATAAAAAAACATGGTACATTTTCGATCCTTCGTATTTTGTTAACAGTTTTAAGATTTAGCAGATTCTGCAAGGGGTATGCAAACTTTTGGGCACAACTGTGTGTGTGTGTGTGTGTGTGTATGTTTATATAAATATATATTTCTCCGCTTTATTTATTGCTGTGTGGAGGATCATTTCATTAAAAAAAAAAACCTTGATTATACATGTGGAGCATCTCGGGTTAGTCAGGATACTCTCAGCATGCCATCATTTTTAATAGTTTGTTTAATAGAAGGTTGTATTTGCACATGGCTGTCGTCCTGCAAATGTCAGTATTGGGACAAGAATTCGCAAATATATTGTGTAACCCTAATTAGGTTTAAATCTATAACACCTTCTGGAACAGGAAACCTCTAACTTGCATTTGGAAACCTGAAGCAGTGTTCAGATAACAACTAACCAGTGACACAACGATTTTACTTTTTTCTTTACAATTTCTTATGTGATCCCAATATTGGAACTCTGTGTATTTGCTCATACCTGATATTGATGTATTATACTATTATTAATTGAAATATAATATTGATCAGATATTGACATCCTACAACCCAGCAAGCGCTCTTTAGTCTGTTGTGCATTTATTGCGTTCGTGGCTTGACAGCAGTTGGGCTTTCAAGATAAGCTGTGTCTAATGTTCAGTACAGGTCTTTGTTGCGTCAGTCACCATCACGCACATTTGCAGTGTACACTGATCAGCCACAACATTAAAACTACTTATAGGTAGGTATAAGTGAATAACATTGATTATTTCATTACAGTGGCACTTGCCGAGAGGTGGAATATATTAGGCAGCAAGTGAACAGTTTTCAAAGTTGGCAAGGGACAAACTGTGATTGCTAGACAACTGGATCAGAGTATCTCCAAAATGGCAGGTCTTGTGGGGTGTTCCAGGTATGCAGTGGTTAGTACCTACCAAAAATGGTCTAAGGAAGAACAACCAGAGAACCAGTGGCCGGGTCATGGGCGCACTAGGTTCACGGATGTGCATGGAGAGCGAAAGCTAGTTTGTCTGGTCCGATCCCACAGAAGAGCTACCGGAGTGCGCAGTGCATCACAGCTTGTTGCGTAAGTGGCTGCTTAGCTGCAGACCTGTTAGAGTGACCATGTTGACCCCTGTCCACTGCCGAAAGCACTGCCGAATTGGCTTGTGAGCATCAGAACTGACGTTTTATCATGTAGACGGATGTGTGCATGTGTGTTGCTTACCTGGCGAAGAGATGGCACCGGGAAGAAGGCAAGCTGGCAGAGGCTGTGTGATGCTCTGGGCAATGTTCTGGTAGTAAACCTTGGGTGTGAATTCATGTGGATATTACTTTGACAGATACCACCTACCTAAACGTTGTTGCAGCCCTTCATGGACATGGTATTCCCTAATGGCTTTCAGCAGGATAATGTGCCCTGCCACACTGCAAAAATTGTTCAGGAATGGTTTGAGGAACATGACCAGGAGTTCACTTGGCCTCTAAATTCCTCAGATCTCAACCCGATCGAGCATCTGTGGGATGTGTAAAATAAACAAGTCTGATCCCTGGAGGACCCACCTCACAACTTACAGGACTTGAAGGATCTGCTGCTAACGTCTTGGTGCCAGATACCACAGCACACTGTCAGAGGTCTTGTGGAGTCCATGCCTCAACAATTCAGAGCTGTTTTGCCGGCACAGGGGGGGACCTACACAATATTAGGCAGATGGTTTTAATGTTATGGCTGATTGTTGTAAAATGTCAGTGGATTAGACGGTGTGGTTCAGGCCACTATCGACCCCTATACGGTAACTGTATATTGGATCAGTTCACTTCTACAACTAACCTGTTTTGCACACAGTGATCTTGCAGAAGGTTTTTGTATTGTCTTTCACAGTTCACTCTTTTTTTTTTCTGCTTCAGATTTCTATGGAAAAAGTGCACGGTGCTGAAGCTGTTCGGTCTCTGCGTGGTGCTCCTCCTTGGGTCTCTTCTCTGGCTGCAGCTGAGCTGTTCAGCTGATCTGAACCAGGCACTGTTGGCTGATCGTCCTCCCTATCAGCCATGTCCTTTAGAGAGACAGGCTGCACCCGTTGATGACTCCTCATGGGGCCCTCATAAAATGGCTGTCATTGTTCCCTTCAGGGAGCGCTTTGAAGAACTTCTTATTTTTGTGCCGTACATGCACGCTTTCCTCAACAAAAAGAAAATACGACACAAAATTCTTGTTATCAACCAGGTGGATCATTTCCGGTGAGAATTTGATTTTGTTCATGTTTAGTTGTGTTAAGTTGGTCGTGCACATGAAGTTGTAGTGTTTTACTTTGTAGTGTAGAGCTTTATTACAGTTGTAGTGTGGGGCTTTATTATACACATGTAAAGTGTTCTGTTGAAATGTTATTGGAATACTGTAATGCAGATCGGGAACCTATGCCTCTTTCAGTGATTGCCTATGGCTCAACGGCAGGAAAAAAATAATAATTACGAAAGCAATTGTCAATTCAATTAAAAGTCTACATATTGTAAAATATTACATAATTCATAATCAAGGCCTATTTGTCATGTATAAACCAACCTGTGGCACAACAAGCTCAAATTTCACTGGAGTGAGGCAGAGCAGTAATTTCCCAGTCTAATTCATAAATCGGTTGAAAACTGCATCTCTTGAAAGGTGAAATCCTCAAGGTCAGGAACAAATGGACCTTTGTTATGACCTTTATTACATAACCAATTTTTTTTTCATAATTGTGCAATAAGAGTAGCGATGCACCGATACTCAGCCAATACCGATAACCGATTATTCAGAGTGATATCGGCCTATACCGATAACCGATAGCTCTGCCTTTTATGCCTTCTTTTAAATGAATAATAATAAATTCCACAATTCTGAAAGAAATGCAAATAAAAACGTTATTGTCAACATTTCAACAAGTTGTTTCACAGTAACTGGTCTCATAAACAGAAAACACATTACTCTAATTAACACTATCACAGGAACAAAATTCTGAAGAAGAGATCTTAATTTAATAACTTTCTTAACTAAAAAACCTCCTGTTAGTCTCTCATTCACTCACCACAAGCAAAAGCATTTCTACTTCATCACTGAACATTAACTGGATATGAAATATATTACTCTACAAATATATTTTTCTGTGCGCTCCATATATACATATATATTATATATATATATATATATATATAAAAATAATATGCAGTATCTCACAAAAGTGAGTACACCCCTCACATTTTGGTAAATATTTGATCATATCTTTTCATGTGATAACACTGAAGAAATGACAATAACTCAAAACACAGCCATTAATGTCTAAACCGCTGGCAACAAAAGTGAGTACACACCTAAGTGAAAATGTCCAAATTTTGCCCAATTAGCCATTTGACCTCCCTGGTGTCATGTGACTTGTTAGTGTTACAAGCTCTCAGGTGTGAATGGGGAGCAGGTGTGTTAAATTTGGTGTCACCGCTCTCACACTCCCTCATACTAGTCACTGGAAGTTCAACATGGCACCTTATGGCAAATAAGTTTCTGAGGATCTGACAAAAAGAATAGTTGCTCTACATAAAGATGGCCTAGGCTATAAGAAGATTGCCAAAACCCTGACACTGAGCTGCAGCATGGTGGCCAAGACCATACAGCAGTTTAACAGGACAGGTTCCACTCAGAACAGACCTCGTCATGGTCTACCAAAAAAGTTGTGTACGTGCTCAGCGTCATATCCAGAGGTTGTCTTTGGGAAATAGACGTATGAGTGCTGCCAGCATTGCTGCAGAGCTTGAAGGGGTGGGGGGTCAGCCTGTCAGTGCTCAGACCATATGCCGCACACTGCATCAAATTGGTCTGCATGGCTGTCATCCCAGAAGGAAGCCTCTTCTAAAGATGATGCACAAGAAAGCTCGCAAACATTTTGCTGAAGACAAGCAGACTAAGGACATGGATTACTGGAACCATGTCCTGTGGTCTGATGAGACCAAGATCAGACACAAAGACAAGTGTGTCTTGCCTACAGTCAAGCATGGTGGTGGGAGTGTCATGGTCTGGGGCTGCATGAGTGCTGCTGGCACTGGGGAGCTACAGTGCATTGAGGGAACCATGAATGCCAACATGTACTGTGACATACTGAAGCAGAGCATGATCCCCTCCCTTAGGAGACTGAGCCGCAGGGCAGTATTCCAGCATGATAACGACCCCAAAC